CCCATATCATCATATCGTGTCATCCTCACACGGTTACCGTACCGTTTCAATCAATACTGGTCGCTAATGACCTACAAGTTTATGCAACCTAAAATAAAAAAGAAACAACCAAAAAGAGCGGCTTTCCGGCACGTGATTACATAACTTTCTCTTCTTTCAAAGTAAAAGCGAGACAGTAAAAGGAGACGATTCCCTGTCGTGTTAATAATGAGGGACAGAAATCTCAATTAGATTGCGTCGGCCCTTGGCGCGTGGCGTGCTCTCGGGCGGGGCACGGAAGGCGACCGTCCATCTGCGCGGCGTATCTCGCCGGAACGGGGCGTGCGGTGGCGACGCGGTGGCGACGCGACGGCCACCTACCTGCCCCGTCCACGGCCAGACATGATGACGCGGCGCCCTGTCGCCGCCGCAGCCGCTACCGCAGTCTCGTCCGAGTAGTTACCCCCGCCAAGAGCACCCGCTGCCTTCCACGATGGAAAGAGATGGGTGCGCTTTCGCAGCAGACTTCATCCTAACTGTTTCAGGCACCAATTTGGATCATAATATTAGCGGGAATTTTTAATTTCAAAATTACAAGTCTTTGAACCAGATATATGAAGCATTTCTTCATATATATATATATATATATATATATATATATATATATATATATATAGATAGATAGATAGATAGATAGATAGATAGATATAAAATCTCAATTACACCTTCATCGTGTTATTTCTGATTGGTCACCGTTGACAATTGCCACATAATGCCAATTTCAAAAATGTTTCCAACACTTCTCGCTCTCAATCCAATATGGCGATCAACGTCTAGTTTGGCATTTCAACGAACGCCAATATCGCCAATATCTTCGATTGGTCGATTATTGATCCATGTTTCCGGGTACCTCAACAAATAGTTCAATTGAAGTAGCGAATGAATTATGCAAGAGGTGGCAGGGCTTCTCTTCCGCTCGTTAGTGAGAACCGGAGCTGACCTACACGTCGGCTGGCAGGAGACTCTTCCTCCCAAGTATCCCCCTCCAGCCCGGGCACCGCTCCAACCGGGACATCCTCCGATTTCCAGAACGGTCTCCCGAGCACCCAGATGGTCCTGTAGTAGCGTAGAGCACGAAAGTGTACTCTGTGTAAGGAGAAATAATGGGACAAGGCAGAAGAAGGAAAATTCACACGCGGTCCATCACCCGGATTAGGATCCTGGAACGATTTTAGCCTGATATTGATCGGAGAAACTACGAAGAAACTATAGATTATAGCAACCTAGACGTCATCTCGGCACGGCGCAGCTGAATTCCATCTACGTAGTACATAGCTTGTGCTGACGTTTTCGGCTTCGCCACCATTACGTTCCAACATTGTGCACCGCCACTCCACTCCCCACCTGCACCCTCTCAGTAGTCTTTGCACACACATCTTCCGCCCTGTCTCCAGATTCCTCCCCGCCACTTCCCTCCCCCGTCTGTTCCGTCACCATCAACACCACGCTATCGTCACCGTCTCCTTTGTCTTCTCTCCCGTGGCTGGCCGTCAAAGTCGCTTCCGTTGCAACTGTCATCGATGGCGCTACTCATAGCACCTCACTCACAACTTCCCCCAAGTCCATACTGAGACCTGCTTCCGTCGAAGACCCCGTTCCTGGCACACTACGCCCACCTCCAACCTTGTCTCTTTCGTCAAAAACAACGCACCCACGCCTGACAGGCCGAGCTCAGCTCAAAGCCACTGCCTCTGCAGCAATCCTTACAGGGGCCGAGTTCCCTGGCCGATTTTTAGCACTAGCGCTGGTGCAAAATTATAGCAGCCGGTTTCTCTCATTAGTAATTTTCCGTGTCTTGTTTACCTCTACAAGGCGTAAGTGGAGCTAATGGGCCACGCGTGATATTGTCATTCTTTTCCTCGTCACATATTACATACACTTTCATTTACACGTACTCATAGGCAGATCCAGGGGTGCTTGGGGGCCATGCCCCCCCCAAAAAAGGCCTAGAGTTTTCGTTTACTTACCTTTATTTGGCAAAAATAATTTAAAAATTAATTTATTCTCTAATTATGAAAATATTTAAACAATAATGTTGTATATTATTATATCTACAGTACATAAAAAATTTCAATATAATAACAAATATGTTTAGTTTGTAACACAAATCTACGATGAAGGGCCTCTGCACGCACTATGCCACCACGTACGTCGGGAGACCAGTGTAAGGAAGGAGTTTATAGCTAGTCCCGGCTGGGATAGTGTCACTCTGAGAAGATGCAACAAGGCGCCAAATCTCACCAACCAGTGGGGAAGAAATCAGACCATCTCCCTCGATAAAATATTCACTATTCTAACAGCACTAATGACCATGGCAATAGACGCGCGCTTTAACATCAATCATCTCCCCTTGTCCTCATTCCTCCTCCACCGGCTCCGACATCACGTATCCTTCATTGCCTGTTTCGCACCCACCCTTGTGCCTCCACCTCCTCTTGCGGCTTCCATCAACTCCGCCACCATGCCCCCCCCCCCACCCCCATCTCCGCCTCTGCCACCTCCTCCGAATCCTTCGCCATCTCTTTGGTCGTCACCGCGCGCGACGTCCGCGTTCAGTCTGGCGTGAAACGTTGATACATGGCCTGTCCGACACGCGATTCTTCGGCTGCCTTGTTAACTTCTTTGCAATACTACATTAAGCTTTTGAGATTTCCATATTTCTGTTATTTTCTATTTTAGAGCATCAATTTTTTATATTGTTCTGTTTTCTGTATTCGCCAATATTTTTATATTATTCTGTTTTCATTTTCTACTTCACAAAAGACGAAGTAGAAAATCTCTAACTTGGCAAAACGGACTCGTAACGCGATGCATTACGCATTTACTATGTCGCAACAACGTGAAACGCATGAATTCTCATACAATAATTAAAGAAATAATCACACATATGTGTGATATTGTATAGAGGTTGAAAACATACAATTGTCTAACAATGTGTACTCATCCATTCACAAAGACCTCTTTAGGAAAGGGTGCGATATGTTTTAAACATGTTGAAAACAAAAGGGAAATCACATTCTAATTTGTTCTCCTCTTTTTCTTCTTCTTTCTCCGTGAAATCAATTGGAAATATTCATTTTTGAAATTAAAACCGTGAACTAAAGAAAACCCCCTCGCTTGTTGACATAAAATGTTAAGCAATATCCATCACCTTTTGATGCGTGAAAGCCGTTTTCAATTGCGTCGTTGTAATTTGCAGCGTGTAATGATTATGAAATGCGATGATCCTTTGTGTATCCGATCACCCTTCCATGCTGCGTAATCACGCTAGGAAAATTGTGATAATTCCGATGTTTAATGATATCATTTTCATTACAACTGATTATTTCAGTTGTATCCGAGCGATTTGGTTATTAGAGAAACGTTAGGTATTGGCCAGAAGCCCATGTACAGTTTTTGAAACAATGCTGTAAACGTGTAAACGTCAACAAACGAGAGACAATACCATTCAAGAGTTTTGGAAAAGAGTCCAGTACTCTTTTTTTCTTTATACTCGCATTTTAGAAAACAATAGAATGAAAACACGTGTGTATGCTTATAATTATTTATATACATCAAGAGCCCCAACTTTTTGAAATATTTCCATTAAAATCAAAAAATAGATATGTAGAAGAATAAAGGGAATTTTGTAAGTGACGAGTTGGGTCAGAAGCGGTTTAGAAGACTTCTCCTATTCTTTTTTTAAAAGAGTGGAAATTACGCCAAAGAACTCTTAAATCGAGTGTTCAATTACAAATAATGTAAATACTTCTAAATAAAAAATCAGTTGATAAGCGCATATTTTGAATTTTTTTAATGGCTAACTCAAAATGTTTTGACATAGAACCTTTGCTACATGGCTAGAAGTTTGTTCCTTAGCCAGATGAAGACATGGCTGGTACAACTCGTAAAGAAGCTGAATACATTGAGAAACGAGATCAATGACAGGTTAAGGATAACTAAGACACAGAAATTTTAATGTAATGCAAGTTCTTTGGTCACTCGTGGGAAGCAGTTGCATGGTGATAAGTTGGTGATAGTAGAGTCAGGAAATAGTTCAGTACAAAAAGATTATGCATTGATGTAGAACATTACATCGGGTTGCATAAGGTACTTTTTCTCAAATTATGGTATTATAAGTTAAACTTTTACATTGAATCATTTTGTGGTAGTTGACATGTAGGATTCAGCCAAGGCCACGTAGCGAACAGCTCTTTAACCTTTCTCTCGCACGTGTCTTTGGTTTACCAGTCCGCCAGCGAGAGAGTACGAAAATTGCAGCAATAATACCGAAGTCAACATTTTCGCTCTTTGTCTTATTTCTGGAGGTGCTAACTGAACCTCTGATTCATTAGACATTTTAAACTACAAAATTACCAAGTTTTTAAGGGCATCCAGACGGAAACAAAATTTAACACAAAATGACTTGCGTCATAATTTTAACCACAGTTAAATGTTCCCTCTTCATCTACCATTGTGCTATTCAAATAGGATCAAAGTTAAATTAAGACCCGATTTATTTTAAATAATATTCCACATGAATATTACTAATAATATAACAAATTTAAACTGTCAAGCGTAATATAATATAAATTGAAATTTTAATGTACACAATCGAACGAAAGGTTTTGTGTTTCAATTGTTTTGGTTTGTAAACTTCTGTATTGCAATGAGTATCATTATGCAACAGGTTGTAGCCATCTAATGAGAGAATTATGCAATGGGAGTAGAAAAATTTCATTACAGAACGCTTTTAGGCAAATCGTCGTGTAATGAACAACTTACATACAAATTTATTTAACTTTGAATAATATGAAAGTAAGTAATATTTCTTCTGAGTGATATCAGACATTTTCATTTATATTAATATTTCCTATTCATGTTTTACTAATCTACATTCAAAACGTTTCATATATTCATTGAAAACAAACAAATAACTCAATCTAATATTGGAATAAAAAAGAGAAATATTTATTACTTACCAACTGTGCGTCCAGCGGTTTTACAGAACACGTGACTTCACCTGAAATAGACAAAACAAATTAGAGAACGATGTAAAATAACAAATATCTATTAGTTTCAGTGTTAAACAGTAAATAATGCATTTGAAACGGTATCATAGAAAGAAGCCAAGATCGTTTAGTGATTAAATTAAATGTATGAATCTTACAAAGAATATTGCATTACATTATAGAATATGTGAAGAAAATTTGCATTGTTTCATTTTTTAATAGGAAGGAACTGCCTTTTAACCAATTATACTGCGAATGCAAATTGTCGTTGCACAATGAGAAACACAGCCATTAAGCATGGAGTGCTAAGGCGGGAGGGGTACCTTCTTACCTTCGATGAGAGTCTTATTTGCAAGGACTGGGGATTTGCATTTTTTGATAATGTTTTAACTGTGAACTTCGAAATTTCCGTTTAAATATAACGTCATTTCTCTGATATACGAGACGGTACGAAACATGTGAAATATTTTTGTATTATATGTATTATATTTACGTGATATAACATATTTATTCTATAATACTTATTATATATTGCTATATTAATAATTTTTCACTGACGGAGAATCTCTCCTGTATCTATAATTTTTGTTTTATAAATGTTCTTACCTTTCACATCCCTCAACCTTGTTATTTCCCAATATACGGCTCCATTAAATTAAATGTGAAAAAAAGTAATATTTAGAGCATAAAGTTTAATGCAAGTTGTACCTCAGTCTAAGACATTTCGTACTGATGCCAACCACCAGTGCAAGATTATATGTTTACCAATAGAGGACAAATATACTCGTCAACCTTGGTTATGTAAGACTTTTCACCATCTGATAATCGGCAAAAAGTAATCATCTTCGACCCAAGCAGATGCTATAGAAGTTTGTCACATTTATTCTGAAACACCCTGTGAACGTGCGCAGAGCGTGTGACTGAGCAGAATCTTCCGACGCAAGCGACTGATCGAGCGGTGGCGTGATCGGAAAACCCCTCAGACCCCACCCCCGTTCCTCCAACCCTGCTCGCGTCGTGCCGTCGCGACGGCCGCGCACTCAAGCGGCGATACCCCCGGGCGGTGACGCCGACGCCCGACGCCTACCGCGTACAGTGGGCGGAATCGCATCTACTGAGTCTTGCAAGACTGCGTCAATCCATAGCGGGTTGCACATCAGCGCGTGTATCAACTATTCTGCCATCTATGGGAGAATAAATGGTGTTCTCCTACTCAACGAAGCAACTTGCCTACGCTATCGCAACCATTGCGATTCTCACGTTTATCTTCTTTAATTATTTTGACCATCGGCGTCTTTCGGCCCATTTCAAACCGTTGAGCGCTCCTGCCTCCGACGTCGCGGCCAAGAATCGGCGAATCCGCTACGCCGTGCCCCACCGCAGGGCACATTATCAGTGCACAGGCAGCGCAAACGAGTATCGACGTAACGGGGTTCGATAGGTCGATGGGCGCCGCGTCGCCTTGCTCGGGTCGGTGGTGGTGCGGGTTGCTCGGAGACGTGGACGTTTCGGTGCAGGAGTTAACGTCTCCCTCATCATCGGCGACGCCTCATGTCTTTTGGGCCTACAAGGTCCCCGTTGCTGCCAAGGGTAGGCGTCGCTTTGGAGGAACGAGGGAGGGGATACACCTCCCCCCTGTAGTTTCATCTTCATTGAACAACACAAGTTATTTAAATATTTAACAACATATTAAATGTCGTTTTAAGTAAATTGCGTACAGAGGAAATCATATTTTTTTAAATTTTTATATGAAATGTTCTACGATTATAATATACACTTATTTTTGAATATTCATCCAAAAGAGTGCTGAAAATTAGGTGAATGTAATGTATGTGACTTTTCTGTATTTTTTAAGATTATGACGAACTCAGAGCGTCACTTAAAACTTCACATAGAAATACTCTTAGTTGAGGAATAAACCGGGACACCATAAACAAAGGCTACCGGTGCTGCGCATTGATTAACCAGGTCCACTCTAGAGTGCCACTCTCTACACATGTTCGAAGTAAATATCACTGTCTTCTAGAGCATGTAAAGAAACTGAATTAGTACATACATCACCGTTACCATACTTATAACACAACTAGAAACTGACAAAACGGGAAGTTATTGTAGTCAAAGCTGAACAATAAATCAATAACTCGATATTGTCAGTAACATGCAGTCCCCTGAGAGTTCGGTTATCTGCCAATCACTTGAGCAGATTAGGAAGACTGTCGGTCAAACTTGCCGCGCCACAAATGTCATACGAGCATCTGTTATGTGAGTCTTTCCCCCAACATTTTCATTGGCAAAATATGATCATATTCAACCCTCCAATGCCTCCGTGGAAGCATACGTTTACATTTAATATCACTAGGGTGCGCGTGAAAGGAAGTTTCTAGGTTTTGCATTCCCAGTGTGGTTGAATTTCCGATACTAGCTAGACCGCTGGGTCGAATTAAGCTTCTGTCTCGAGAAGAATTGTGCCAGTCGGCTCCTCTAATCAGTATTATTCCGTAGTTTATCCGGCCGACAACAGGCAAACAACAGAACACAACCATAAAAAAAATTAGCCATTGACCAGTCCGGGGCTTAGACCTTCTTCCGGGTGGGGTGGAGCCGCGATGCTGGGAGATACCTGGATGGCGAAAATATCCCAAGCGCGGAGCCAGATCTCCAGCATCCAGCGGGGAAAGATCGCCGCTATTTTCCACTATTAAAACATACACTAACCCTACGGGACTAATGACGTTAGTCGTTGACGTGCCCGGCGCCACTAACGAATTAATATTCACCCGCTCAACACGCCCTAGAAATGTGCAACCGTTATTCCGAGCCAGCCTATAGCGTTCCACGAAACTCACTTTAGAGCTGTCGCTTCCGAGTCCACTCTCCGGCCATCACCGCCTCTCCCTCGCCGCCGCGCGCCGGTGGCGGCCGCGCACTAGACGATGGAGCGCGCGAGATTATCGTGCGTCATACGCGCCTCATTAGCTCTGATGTGTTTATAACTGGCGCGCCGCGTGTCCACGCACGCGTCCGCGCGCTCCGCGGGGCGAACGCACGCACGCACACGCCCCGCGCGGGCCGCCCACGCTGACGTATCGCACGCCGACAGGCGCGCTCGTGCTAACGCGACGCTGGCGGCGGACCGTCGCTGCAGATGGGCGAGGTCTGCGATGCGTTTTCTCAGCGTACGCGACCGTGTACTGGTAATGCAGGGGAATGTCGGTGAGCTTCGGAAGGCTAATTGCGATAGTGGAGTAATATAGCGGAATCTCAAATGCGGACTTAGAAAAACACGAATGATGTCACACGAACACTGTAAGCTCTCGGTAACTCTCTTGTCGAGTGGAAATGAAAAACAGAGTGTCTCACAATAAATATTACAAACTTCCAGAGCGGGTAGCGGTGTTGAAAATAATCACTTTGATGTTTTACCGTTATTCGTTTGTTCGGTTTTGCAATTTCTGTATTTTATTCCAGCATTTTCTAATTTTTCTTCTCCTTTTTACTGTCATTGATCGATACGATGGAAAGTTGATAACCAAGACAATAGTTACTGAAAAAGAGAATCTATAAGTTTTGTAAAAGTAAGTAAAATTGTTTCATGTTTTCAAATATATATTTTTTTGAATGTTTGTACGTAGATAAATTTAATCCCGGATATTCTTGTGAGTCGTCTGACCAGAGTTCGAGGAGTCTTCACGTCTGTCTAGTGTAAAGAATAGCATGTGTTTCCATGAGGGACTAGCAGACAAAAATATTCACCATGATTTTATATATATATATATATATATATATATATATATATATATATATATATATATTTACCTCGACAAGTAGAAAAAATGAACTACGCCGCCTCCTCAACTTACTATTATTAAATACAAACGCATGGAATTAATTCATTTTAGCGCATAACTTAAAGTCTTTGTAATACAACTATAGTACAAGAAGCATACAAGGTTCGTTATAAGATGTGGGTACTAATGTTGGTATTTAAAGTAAATATTATTATTTACTTTAAAAATGATTATTCACGAGCACTCTGAATTTAGACACAATACCTGTACGCCCAGGAAAGTTTAGTACATTGCAAACGTATAAGCGGCTAAACGTATCTTATCTACTGTCGTCATCACAGTGCTTAACACATCTCGCATAACCCAGCAATGCGATAAATTTCCGTTGAAAAGCTCCGAGAAGCAACATCCACGTTGTAGAACCACTCCCCCTCTAGCTTTCGTGGACTATCCACACGAATCCGCCCAAAAGGAAAGATTATAAACATATTAATTATATTGTCCGGGTTTATGGACCATTCCTCCTCCGCCGAGACACTATAAATGCGGCCGTATAACTCGCGCACCCACCGCCAGAGGCGCTCGCTACGCCCCGCGACGAATGCAATAGAAGCAGTGGAAGCTGGACGGCCCTCGGCAAATTGTTTCTTCCACCATTGCAGCTCCCGGCATTGCCTGTTGCTGGGCGAGATTGCACGGGAATAAATGTCGGCGAAATTCCATAGAAATATGACCCCCGTTGCGAGTGGGCTGTTCGTTCTGGTCATCGCGGTACATACGACTCTTCTAGGACTCCAATTTCGTTTACTGGGCATAGTTATTTTCTTTTTAATGTTTCTTCTTCTTCTTAATTTAACATAATATAACTTAATTTACAGACCATTGATAATTTACGTAGGTTTAATTTTGTGACCAAATCTCATGAACATTTCAATAACTTAATTTCCTTTATGCTTTACTTCAATTAACACAACACGAGGCAAAAATATGCAGAGGCATGATAATGCACGTTTCCAATACTTTCAACAATGTTTCATGCCATAAATGTGTAACAAACAAAAAACACCTGCCTCCGAAGGTTGCTTAGAGTATGTTTCTTTTTCACTAATTTCTTTATTAAAATGCAAGACATACAAATATGCTAACATGTGAGTCCCAATGATTTTTCTTTCTTTCAAGAGATGCTTTTTCAACCATATTATTAAATTTGAAATTACGCATA